ACTGTCTTCATTTTCGATACTTTCGTTCGTGGATAACTCTGATTCTAAGTCAGACATGATAGATTCGAGCGAATGAGGCACAAAAACTATAAAAATACAACTCTGTACTGACTTGCACGGATAAACACGAGTCCTCGCAGTGACGTCATCGTGGTTGTAAACCAGGTCCCAGACCCCGGACAGTTTTTGGTGCAAATGACTGATTTTCGAAGGCGAAAAAAAATTATTTAGTTACACTGAATTCCAAAAAAAATAGCATCACGATACTCGGAAAATGTTAAATTTTGTTGTTTTAAAATAACACGGAGGTCGAACATTTGGTTTCATAAACACTTTAAAGTGTAAAAAGTTTCTATTCACTAAAAACACCTGGTGGTTTAGTAGATTTATCGGAACATTCCTTTGCATTGTCCGCGCTGAATGTTATCCAGACATGACAACCATGGCAACGGGCATGAAGCTTTCGTTCAGTCTCGGTTATATAGAATGCAACTAGAATACTCTCAGCTCCTTTCTGTGTGTTGTTTGTGTGAGCTGTACACGTAATTCTTTTGTCGTGATATTTGTTTTCCCAAAAAAAAAAAACATTCGTATTCAAGACATGCAAATTTTCTTATTCCTTCCTTTATGAGCGAACTGGCAAATATCTAGGCAAAATATAGTTCATATATACGAAAAAACAGGGCTTCCATTTATGGTATTAATTTTTGTAAATTAACCTTACAAATTTGTAAAATGTGCCGTATAAATAGAAATAACAGACTATACAACTCTACTAAGCTATATTATCTCTCGTTTCATTTTACTTCAAACTCAAAAAGCAAACACTTTGAATAGAGTTAGGGCCCTGTCCACAAGTATCCTGATATTTTTGAACCCTCAACTTTTTCTTCACGGGTTGGCTTCCCATCAACATATCCGGTGAGTTAATGAATCCGCAACTTTTTAAATTGTCTTTAAAGTGGATTTTTTGAATACGACTTGAATACGGACGGTCGAATTCCTATTTTTTTTATTCGACCGTCCGTCCTCACTAGGCCGTATTCACAGCGCAGCAGCGCTATCACAAAGATTCACCGCATTGAAGTGGACGTGTGGCAAAAATAGCCTAAAGATGTTTGATTAAACCTACATACGGAAATCTACTACGGTGAAAACCAAAAGATCATATATGTAATTAAGATAAAATTCACGCCTTAATATCGGCATTTTTTTGTACAATTTGCGTAAAGAGTTTATTTGAAACAATGATATCCCTAGTATCAAACTTAGGGTGACGATCTACTTTACGTCAGAAACCGTTTCCTATTTTTCTCAAACTGTATAATTTTTTTTACATCTTTGTCTTTTTCAATTTGCGTAAAGAGTTTATTTGCAACGATGATACCCCTAGTATCAAACTTGAACTGCCATTTGAAGTTACATGCCAGAAAAACGGGAATTTTATTATTTTTGAGGTGTCAATATTCTTAGATAATTTTCTGGTTGTTTTCAGTGTTTTCTTTCGTAACATTTAGTACCATCTTAGTTAATCTATTTAATGCATGGCTTATCCTCACCTTGGTGATGTTCGGAAAAGTTACCAATACGGAGATCTTCATTTCTGAACAATGTAGCCTGTATCATCGTAGTGCAAGAAAACAAGAAAAGCAACAAATAAGACAACATTTTAAAGTCTCCTTTGTCCAAAGCAGGGATATCAACCGACTCTTTTGGTTACATCTGACTCGAAGACGATCATAAAAAATAAAAGGATGTCGAGAATGCACCTGCCTTAAGAGAGGGGATTGCAAAGATGTCAAGTTATGTCACGTTTTCCGTGACAACGTAACACGTGATTGTTGCGACGTCAGTTCATGTTTCCAGGAGACGAATGCGTTTCTCTTGGTTTTACGATAGAATAAATTATATCTCAAAAACCAACAGCGTCTTCAACAATAAGCGGAAAGCAACTGAATAAGGGTGAAAATGAATCCCAATTCCTGATAGAAACTATAATTAATAATTTATAGCAAATCAGGATTAAAGATTTGAACGTTGTTTTAGGACGAAAGAGATACCGTTAATGATGCAGAAAATAAGATTTAATTTGGTTCTTGATCATGTTTAGGCCCCCAGTAAGCAACCTTTTAACGATGCCTATGGAAAAACGCAACTATTAACTAACCAACTACCAAGAACTATCAAAGTCAGGATCACTAGAATATACTAAATTATGTATGCCATTCATAGTTCTGTCATACAGTGCATATTTGAAAAGAAAATGTTTCATTGTGAGTTGAGCGTTGTGTGCATAGAATATTAAATGTAGTGGTGGTGTTCCCAGTTAGTGCGAAAGCGCTAGAGCGACTAGACAATTGAATAAAAGTGATTTTTGTTTTTGCTCTCTCACGTTCGCATATTGACCACTCCATAGATGAACACTGACGCTTTGACGGGATAAACAAAACTAGTATAGCTTCTAACCCACCTGATTCCGCACGTGTGAGTGTCTACACATCATTATATAAACAGGACATACAAATCATACAAATCTTATTACTGAAAATATTCAGTCGTATATTTCATGCAATTTCTCCTTTACTTTTTACTTTGAACAGAAGGCTTCGAATTGGTTTACCAATATCGAGGTACTCTTTCCATTTAAGGGGTTCTTTTTAATACACCTGTTCGCTTTAAGGGGGTAAGATCACGTGACCTCAGTGTAAGTGCATCTTTCACTAAATAGAACTAATCCAATGTTTTTCCATTTCAATTTATGTGTAATTCATTAGAGTAGGGCACTCTATTATTTTTTTGTTTAACAGTTGCACACGAGAAGACACATGAATACAGATACAACTCAACTAAAGAATTTTATTCTCAAGAGAGTGACACTGGGCAAAACATTGCGCCCAAGAGGAACAAGCCTGAAGCGAGATGACGCTTTACCCCCGACTCTATACCATAATAGTTTTTTAAATTCTTTCATATTAAAATTTTTGATTCCTTAGAGAATACAGGAACAATAGTCATAATTAAAGAACAAAAGCAATGTGAAAAGGATTATGGTCTAGAGACGGGGGTAAAACGTCATCTCGCTTCAGGATTATTGGTCCATTGCCTGCGAGAATAAGATTCATAATAAATAATCAAAAATAAGAAATGTTGAATGCTGTAATAAAAAACTTAAAACAAAAAAATAGCTTGGAACTAAAAACCACCGAGAAAATGTTAAAAACGAAAAATTAGTTGCATTTGTTAAGAAAATGGATCCTTGGGTCTTTTAGCCCGAAAATGATAGTTTGTATAATCATAGCTAGTTAAGACATGTAACTTACTTATACTTTTCGATAAATTATTCCTTAACTTTGTAATACGATATTGAAATATCGAACTTTCAATTCTCTTGTCTCAAAAAGGTCCAAGCCAAATATACACAAGCTTTTAAATAACGAAGTTTTGACGTACGTTCATCAATTCTTAAAGTTTGTATTAAAACGGTCCTTTTGTTGAAAAAAAACAACACTTCACCAGTATCGATAATTACTCCGGGAATAAAGTCAAATAAAACTGCAAAATAGTCCTGGGGGTTTCAGGGATACACGAATCAGAGCTCAGGTGAATAGGGTACATAAAGTTTAGCATTTAATATAAATTTTTAGTTCAAGAAGTGAACGGTCAGAACAAACTACGCAGAAGTCGTTGTAGAGTTTTATGAGCATAGAGCGATAAAAATTACTTGAAGTGCTTCTGCAGACAACTTTTAGGAGAAAAAGTCTAGATATAGTGGCTTTGGAGAAATTCGACTGGTTAAGAAGAAAGAGAATGGCCATATCTGTATACTTGGTGCTGTGCGCGGTCATGTTGACAGGTAAGGCTTTGAGAACTTAGCAAAACAATGATTGAAATTTAGCTAGATCTTGATTTTCGCTGATAGCATGATAATGCACTAATGAACTGTTTTTGATTTGAGAGATGGACAGAGAACATTAAAAGGAGCAATCTTAGTCTCAGATCAAGCTTGCGCGTGTGCTACGAAATATAACCTAGGGTGACGCATTCATAGATATTGCACAACGAAGTGGTTTATTTTCCAAAAGCGAAAAATTGACATTTTGTAGATTTTTTTTAAAACTTGATTATCTACCCATGTAGAAATTATAACTGTTTTTGCTCGATGATGATGGCAAATTAGTTCCTTGGAATTATATGGGATGCGCAATCTAGTGGAAAAACAGGTTTAACAGTCAGGCATACCTATAAAAATTCCAACTCGCCAGATCGAACCCTGAAGCAAATTCGGGGCTGATCTTCTAAGTCAGAACACGGCCAACTTACAGATTGAATTGGGATTTAGATCTTTGGGATCAGTGCAGCTTTATGCGGAGGGAGGAAAAGCGGAGAACCCGGAGAAAACCTTCCAATCAAGGAAGAGACCGAACAAAATCTACTCAAATGATGATACAAGGCATTTGTTATAATTTATCGACAACGGAACTTTGCATTGCCTTACACTTTACACTCCAAATTTGAATCGCCCATCAATTATTTACCGACATCCTTCACGTTCTTTCTTTGTGCCAAGAACCACACATCGTAAAGTCCATCTACGTATTAATCATTAAGCATGTCAAAGCTGTTGGATTTAATTTTATTTGTAACAGATACGGATTACATGCAGAGAATGAATTTTTTATTTAAAAAGCCGAATCAGAAATTCGTTGGATAATTGTCAGATACGGGATGATGAGTTCTGCAAGCCAAAGCCTGGCTTAAACATTGAATTTGAAGTGCCTGTTTTTCCATTCCTCTACGGAAATATTCAGTGATAAAATTCTTGATATGCAATCAAGACCAACTGCATTCTTAAATTAATGTACAATAGTGTTTGAGTATGTAACGATTTTTACTAGATGATATTAAATATCGAAGAGAGCCTAGTAGGAAAAAAAGAAAAGAAAAGAAAGAGAAAATTGCAGCGAATGTTGTTTAAGAAGTAAAATCTTTTGCATGGATGTGTAATTGTGGTGGAAATGGTGTTCTATATTACCGTTTGAGCACACCGTCAAATATTCTATTGTTTTGAAGTCTACGAGCGAGGTTAATGGGTCAATAAAATGATGCTACCGAAGACAACCGTTATATTTGTCATTTTGGAAAACTTAAAAAAAAAGAAGAACATCGGAAGATCATAAACTAGAAAGAAGATGAAAACACGTTAGATAGCATGGCTTTAGCTTGGAAAAGCACTTTTGAAACACATGCTGGTCGTTTGCGCATGCTCTGAAAAAACTGCAAGGTTTATATTTTATGTTTGCTTAGTATACATCGTGTTGTTTACCGTTAAGTATATTTGATGTCCTTATGAAATAATGTACTACTTTGTCTTGTAATATCGTGAAATAACCTGAGTTAAAGTTCAAATGACATTTTATGTACAATACGTGCCTAAAATACTTCTCCACAAATTTGACTGATCGTGTTTGATAAACAAAAATAAAAACAATGTTTGATGATAGAAAAACGATATTGCATGTTGATATGGAAAAAATATGGTTGCTTGAAAGCGCTAAGGAATTCTGTGAAAATATCAAACTTTCGGTTCATCGAATACACGCATTTTGACAAACAACACTCATAGTGATGCCGAATTTTCAAATTAATTCCTGAAGAACGTTTTCTAAAATTATAAATGACAATTAGGCAAAGTTACGTCGTAATCCAAAGAGTTTGTCAGTTGTTGAATCATTATACCTCCCGTGACTAGTTTAGTACCACGAATTGAACGGAAGAATTTAATTGAAAATTTATATAAGAAATTGTTTGATTCCGTAATTTAGAAAAATGAAAATGCTAGAAGTCAAGTTTACAGTAAATATGATGTAGCTGGGATGATTTTGGAGTATCAAATTAATGACCGTTTATATGTAGAGGCTGACCTCTCAATAGATCTTTAATTTATAAAATATTCGAAATTAATAAAAATTTCGAAATTATTTTTGTTTCACGTCCTTACACTTTTGTCGCTGAATGAGCCACCCTGGTTAAATAAAATGTACTTACATTTCTATTGTCTTTAAATTGGAGTTCTATTTTTCTTCATTACTGATAGTGGACCTGTGTACTGGCATGCATTATGGGCGCTGTAATGAAACATTTTTCTTGACCAAAGCCATGAGTTGCGAGAAGACCTTCTATCGAAAACTAATATCAAGTTCTTCACCAAGTAATTGCAGGTAACGAAGCATCATATACGGTTAGTGTGTACAGCGGTTTTCGTATGAGTGGGAAACGAACCGTACTGTGCGGTACGTCATGGCGTAACATCGTAATGAAGTTTCAATTGTTTTCCAGTAATTCATCCAATCGATCCGCCACAAAATTTAGCTACTGTTACAGCTACAAACTTGCCGTGTCGCGTTTCCCACTCAAACGAAAACCGCTCCATACGTGTTTTTAGTATCTTTACATATGTGAATATACTTATTTCAATAAAGTTAGTCAACAAAAACCTAGAAAGCTGAGATCACTGAGGATCATGGGAAACAATTCATTTCAAACAAGTAAAGCTTTTTGATACAAACTGCAGCTTGAGGATGCTCAGAGGTGAGACTGTAACTGGTAAAAGATGTGCAAGGCCATCAACAGTTATCAAGCGGCTGAAACATGTAAAATGTATCTACAGATCATCCATGTCAGCCTCAGCTTTATAGCTTTTCGGGTGACTAACTTTATTGAAATAAGTATATAACTTGTGTTTAAAATACTAAGACGATTATTCGCCTTACAAATTTTTTTTAGCCAAATGTACAACGTTCACGTGTATGATTGCTACAAAGAAACCCTCTTACAGTGTTACCGTGATGCGATAACAAACTGGCAACTACACGTCAGGGTGGGGCTACTCACCCTGGATGCTTTTGGGGAGGCACAGTTTTACTGTTCTACCAATAAAACCATTAGAAAGCTGACAGAAATGCCAGATGAAGTTAGGAAACATTTTCCATGTTCAGATGAGTACTTGGAAAAGGGACAAAAATGTGCTGATAAAGTTAGGAATATTCTTGCAAATAATCCAAGGGATCGATCATTGTGCAGGTATTTCTGTCTGTCTCTTTTTATTTCCTTCGTTATATCCAAGAATATCTAGAAGTTTTCAGATCTTCTGCGCTATCAAAACTTGTTGTGATGAGCACGATGACTTGAAAAGTAACTTGGTATACAATCCGAGAAAGAATGCAATGCGCACTATTTTAAGGTGGCTGACTACTTTGGTATATAATAAACAGAAAAAAATCAAATATTAAAAAGTAGTCAGCCACGTAAAACAAACACAACTAGCTTCCGCATCTTTCTGTTTTGTTAAATGTTTTACAGAGAGTACTCGCTGAGTGTCTTATGTACACAAAATGTCGCCAAGGCACACTGCAATACAACAATTGAGATTCCTGGACATCTTGGAGGAAATCCATTCTGTCCTGAAGAGATGGTCGAGAATGATGGCAAAGAGGACGTGACCGAAATCACTTCAAAACAACTGACTGAAGATAACAAAGATAAGGATGTGGTCGAGAATGATGGCAAAGAGGACGTGACCGAAGTCACTTCTTATTCTGAAGATAACACAGATAAGGATGCAAAAGCAATGGTTGAGACAAGTGTACCTTCGACAAGCTTGGCTGACATTCATCATCCGGCATGTTGGCAGTCTTGGTTTCTGGTTGCTATGTTGGGCATTTTGTTCTTTAACGCATAGACCGAGAATTTCTCCGTCACAGTTCTTGTTTTAAATATAACACGAAGGCTCTTTATTGAAGCAAGCAATTTAAAAAAATATCAAAGTGCTCAGCTGATTGTTCATAAATACTAATTTTTTGGCCGAATGTCAGTTAACTGTAATAATTTTACGAACGCTGGCCATAATAGTAATAAAAATGTTGAAATATAAGTTAACTGTCAACTAATAGTTGTAGGTTATTTGTCAGTTAACCACTACTTTTTTGGACAATGTTCAGTTAACTACTAACCCCATTGGCTCCCTCTTTGAAGTAAAGAATTAAGCATTTTGGGCGGTACCGAGAAAGAAAGTTTTTGTATTTCATGAAATAAAACTTGTTGAATAAAATTATTGATGCCTAATTAAATTTAATGAATAAAATGCATTTATAAGAAGTAATTGATTCCATTAAAAGTTTGCAATTGTACTAAATTATGTGTTCTTTGAGAGAAGTGGTTTTAAAAATGAATTTTTGGAAGTGGTTCTAAAAATTAAACTGGGCTTCCTGTTTGCTACCCAAGAGCCAAAGCGGTCTTCCAAACAAGATGGCGGCTGGTTGTTGATGTCTAGCCAGCTATTAGGGGCTCTGGGGTTTTTGAAATAATTTTCTTTGTGATTGCAAAAAATGGAGGAAGAGAATATAAAAGAAGGATTCATATGCCCTGTGTGTATGAAAGAATTCAGCATTCCAGCTCAACTCCAAACACATTTTGAGGATTTGCACTCGGAAGATCATGACGCGCTTCGACAAATCCGGGGAATGTTTCGAAAAACGAAGAAAAAAATACTGAAGAAAATTGATAGTGAGAGCCAAGATAGCATTTCTGAACTACCACAGGACGAAGGCGATGGATCTAATACCGTTCATAGGGGAACAGATCCATTTTTATGGGACTATTTGGAGTTTGGTAAGTATACATTCGAATGAACTCATATCCATTCACTTATAGGTGGCTCAAGTTCATATATATAGTTAGCTATAATGTGACGTATGATTTATCGAGAAACAAAGTAACGGTGTTTAAATTATGCCTTAAATTTAATTGTTTTAACACATTAAGACTTAGACGATAAAATTTAACATTCAAATTAAACTCAATTATAAAGTTCCTTCCTCCCCGCCTAAAGAAGGGAGAGAAAAAAAAGAAAATCTGCTAGCAGGGAACAAGTGTACAAGATCGCTGAAGGCATGTTTCAATGTCTCAGCAGTAGTGCATTTACGTGACCTTAATAATGTGATGTTAATAAAGATTTGCATTAGTTTATGAAACAATATGTGGTACATTTAGATTGTCAGTATGGACAATGTCAGCTAAAAATATTTTACATTTTATAATTGTAGCATCAGAATTACTAGTATTCAACATTGTATATCTGGTCTGTTACATTAGGCAAAGTCATTACCACTTTTCATTGCTATGAGCAGATCAGTACAAAAGTTGCAATATTATTCTTCGTTTGCACGTTACATCATCGCAGCCATTTTGGTACCATTTAACRAAAGATTTCTCATTAGCATCCATTGTTACCGGTACCACAACGGCCGCCATGTTTTTGTCTTTTAACTCTCTTGGAAATGCTTGCAACCCATCAATTTGCAGATATCAGGCAATAGACTATCATCAATGAAAAAAAATTGCTTGATACCTCTATACAGTATATACTCTGATTGACAGCAAGGTATTGCCAAATTTCTCTGTAAATGCCTTGCCGCAAGTGAATCTCAAGGCATTAACAATATGATTATATTGTGGCTAGAAAATCAGAGGGAGTGTTTCATCATAATGCAGAAGATGTATATTTGTAAACTGATGAATTGAATATTCAAGCATCATTATTTATAATCTAGGTGCATCAAGAAGTCACTTTAGACAGTTTAAAGAAAGACGAGATGCAGAAATTGACCGATATGTAGTTGAAACTAATAAAATATTAATACGACTTGAAAAGGTATGTGTGCATAATGATGAGTACTTTAACAAACAACTAACGTGAAATGTTAGTACAGTTCCTTTTAAAAATTTTTTACACCATGTTTAATTTCCTTATTTGAATGATTTGATGAATGAGAGGGGTTAAAAATTTTTTTTTTTTTTTTTTTTTTGAATAAATATAACTCTTTGACTTCCATGAATACATATTCCTGAATGCTCTTTCCTAAATTTAGTTACTTAGGTCTGGTGTTCATGTCCCAGACTCCCCTCTACCTGGAAACTTTAGTAGGAAAAGTAAGTATCCTTTTTTTTTTCCTTTTCTTATTTAAAAAAAGTTGGTTTGTTTGAAGGTAAACTTTGAAGCCAATTAAATGGTGAGGGTTTCATTTTATACTTACCAAAAGTCTCTCAATCATACTTTTTTAAGCACAGAATTTCCTTGTTTAGGGACCATTAGTTATTTACAGGTAGTACTGGGTTGGATAAATACCCCCTTTGCATGTCATTTTTTCTCGGACCCCTGTGTGGTAAATCTCCAAAAATTCTATGCGAATGTACAAGATCCAGTATGAACTTCCATACCCTGGTATAAGATTTTTAAGGGCAATTCACCCAATTTTAAAAGCCAATGCAGGAAACCATTTTTAGATTGTGTATATATCATGCCTAGTATTGATGGTATTAGATATATAAAACTAATAATATTTTGGGTATTTATTGTAACATTATTTATCACAAAGAGAACTAAAGTTATTTTTCTTGCAACTGTTGATTTAAACAGAAAATTAAGTAAAACGACAAAAAACACATTGTGAATTAGGTCTACTACAATGTATTATGCTTGCTAATCTTCCACAGTCCAAATAGAATCTCTCTATTATATAGTGCATTTATACTCTTGATAAATTTTGTTTAATACTATTTCAGCCAAAGAAAAAAGTCTAGTACCATGGATAGCAGATAGTGAAGTTAAATTTTGTCCAATATGCAAGAAACAATTCAATGTTGCAAGAAGGCGGCACCACTGTCGTCTATGTGGTGGAATAATGTGTGGAAAGTGTTCAAAATCTATAACTGTTCCTTTTGCTGGTAAGATTGTCAAGCTTTCGTGAACTTTTTGGTACAGAGGTTTTTACTTTTACTTATACCAATCAAAAGTGTAAGACATAGTAAGATATTAAGCACCAACAAAAGCACCACGATAATTAACACTTATTGACTGGGACCGAGGGAAACAGTGTGTTTTGTGGTTCTGAGACAGCGAGGTTTCACAAAGAGAAGCATCGCTTTTGAAGGACCACAAAACACACTGCTTTCCCGAGGTTCAAGTCAATAAGTGTTTTGTTATGTACCAAGTGTCAAAGAAAAAAATGGCAGCTATTTGATTTTTTGATTATTTGATTTCGAAAAACTTAGCAAAACATACAGTTCTGGGAAAATCACTTCCGGTATTGTTATTACCGGTCCAATAACATATTGTTGCCCGCTAAATGCCGCGCCAGGGAAACATAGAAACTTGTTTATACATTCATGTGATACCTGTAGGGTCGATGGCCTTCCTATTCTCAAGATGACTTCGGATTCTAACTCATAAGAACACAAACATTACGTCAAACGTCTGCCATCTTTAATCTCCCCTTTTACAAACGCTGACCATACATACAAGTGTATTGTAATACACTACCATACCCTCTTGCCCAATCAGGGTAAGAGAAAAATGGACTTTGATAGTTGGTATAATAGGCCTAAAATAGAAACATGGCAGGTGTGTTATTTTCGTTTTGGTTATAGAGTACAAATAATGTTAACTGCAAGGTATTATGGGGAAAAATTCTTCCATGAAAGAAATTAACTTTTGACAAACATGTCAAAATAGTCAGTGGGCTTTATTTGGCAGTATTATCAATAAAACAACACAGTTGGCTTACCTTTTTTGCACAGTTCAGTTACTTAAGCTAGACAAGACTTCAGACATTCCAAGAGGGAAAGGAAGATCACGAGATGATGCAGATGAGGCTGGCTTCAGATCATGTCAAGTCTGTGCTGATCTACTGTACAGGTGCTGATCCTCTAGATATGCTATTAGCAAGGCAAATGGGTTCCCTGTGGTGCAAGGTGTAAATTTTAGTTCATGGGCATCCTGTGTTATTTTTTAAAGACAAGTACTGTTGAATCCCACTGGTATAGCAAGTATTCCATGTAATGCATTCATAAAAACACAGTGAATCATAATGAATCACTTCTAATACATTAGATAGAACAACAATAGAATACAATGGATTTTCTTAATGTGTAGCTCCAGAAAATATCCATAACCCACCCACGGAAGGAATTGGAAATTCTGGAGGGGAGGTAGCCTCCTTTGCAGCCATTCTTAGGGTCATCATGCAAGAAAATTAGAAGTTCCTGGGGGAGCGGGTCCTTTTAAAAATTCCATGGTGGTTGATATGGATATTTTCTGGAACTACACAATATATTACATCAAATGATTGCTATATAGGTTCTCCCTATAGTGAGGGCCACAGGTTTATTAGGAGGGCCACAGGTTTGTTAGCATATTGCTATTTAGCGCTACCCTCAGTAAATATTATTATTTAAGTTTATTATTATTATTATAGTGATATAGACACTAAATGAACAGCAAGTAATGTTCAAAACGCCTTAATTAGTTTATGCAATGCCTTTGCAGTCATGACATACTAAAACAAAAATTTACTATTATACAAAAGGCATGAAAAACAAGAAAAAGAAAAGCAGATCAAGCCTGCCATAGTGCAGCTATATGAGGTCAGTACTCGTCAAAATCTTTTCGGGAATGATACTTGAAACGTTATTGAATATTCTCTGATATATATGGTAAGGGACAGAGGAAAGTGGGCTGCAGTTTCATTCAGTAGGTGACGGACAGCAGAGTTTTTTTAAGTGTGTTTGTGTGTGTGGTTGGGAGTCCATAGCAAAAATTCATGCTTATTTGAAAAAAAAAAGTGTATCCTTCACAGAAGTGCACAATCTATATTTGTCAGATATCCTTCAGCAAATATTGTATACATTTGATTACCACAATTTTCCATTGTTTTTGGTTCTTCACAGAAAATGAAAGAATGCATGGCAGAAGCAGAGAAGCTGTGTCCCGTCTATATAAAGATGGCGGACTCGTTGAAGTATGTTACTTTTCACGCATTTACTCACTAGCTATAGCATCTCTAATTTGTTGTTGTTTATATCTTTTCATCTCTGGGCTTCCTGTTGTTAGTGTAGGCACAGGGTACCCCAATATTACAAAAATCCGACAAAAGAAAAAGTGAGACAACAGGATGTTTTGATAAATAGTGCTGAATAGACCACTCATCGTAATTCAGATTATTTGTTTGATGAGACCAAACATTGTCGGAATTGAACCAACAAGAGTTAGCTTTTTTAATTTTTTATGGCAAAAAGCATGGTCGGTCGTGTTTCGTTGCGCTGTCAGCTATTATCCGATTTTGATAGGCCATTGATGACGTCGAAAGAACTTACAAGTTCATAGCTGGCGATAACGTGGCGCTTTCAGTTATTGCGCGGCACGTGATTTCGTACTCTTTGGAGTTTCTTTTTAAGGCGATTTTTGGTAAAATTTTGGATCTTTTTGCGAGTTGCACGTTATTGTTCTATGTAGCACTTTTTTTGTCTTAAATTTTTGATGATCTCAGAGCGAATGTTTGGTAATGAGAAAGTCTCAAATATTGTCTTGGCGTAGTAAAGATATAACATGGCATAGCACAATGCAAATTTTCCATTTTTTTATTTTTTATTTTTTTCATTTATGAACAAATCAGTAGGAATTAACAATCCCTATGCATTTACTGTAACAGATAAAGAAAGAACGGCTCGGGCTATCTTTGGCCTGTGTTTACTAATGTTCTATTCTTTACAGCCTTGGTGATATACAGTATGACTTAGACGAAGCAGCTGAAATAAGGATTAAACTGATAAAGAGATACGAAAAAGTGGATTTGATAAGGTAAACATGTATGTAAATTGCCACATATTGACCTCGGGTCTCACCAGTTATGACCTGCTTCCGTTTGTATTCAAACAGCTTGAAATCTGCTCAAACTTTGTAGAATTTGACAAGCTATATAAGATAACAATCCAGATAAAATCCCAGTGAAGCTGAAGTTCAGGGGCATGTTAGGATTATGCCTACTAATAGCGGAAATCCATCCTCCATTCCTGGACAAATGGACGACTTGCACTAACAGGTCACGTGAACTTACCTCCCTTAATACCATCAGTTGTGTCAAAACTTTGCCTTTTCACACTGATATCGATGGGCTTTTTGCATTTCTCAGTGGTGTTCATTTGACAGCTACTCGTTTTTAAGTGGGTTAGGGTTACATGACCTGTTAGTGCAAGTCGTCTATTCCCTCAATAAACACGATTTTATAATGCCCAAAATATTTTTTTGAAAGAGTTGTTATCCAATAAATATCACGTGACCTGCCACTAAACTTTGTTGTTTGTTTGTTGTTTGTTGTTTTTGTATATTTCAGTAAGAAGATTGGAACTCTTGGCTCTCAGGGTGACACACCACCCAGCGCACAATTCTTGAAGCTTCAGCGAGGGATGCGTGCTTTTGCCACTGGATATCTACAGGAAAACATGTTCACATTACCCAACCTACCACCTCGCGATAAAGTAGCACAACTACAGCAAGAGAGAGCGGCTTACATGGCGGCAAGAGCTGCAGAAGAGAAGGCAGAAAGAGAAAGAGCCATGCAAAGGAGGCTGGAGTCTTCTAAAGTACATCAGAGACAAAATAGCGGTGACTTTAGACATGATCCTGCGAACAGTCGTGTAACTAGACAGCGGAGTGGTTCTCAAGTTGGGGAGGGCTGGGGACCAGTTTCTCTCAATAATGTAGACTCTTCCCCAGACCCCATACTACAACAAATGGAAATTATCAGGAATTACATCAAACAAGCCAAACAGGCAAAACGACTGGACGAGGTACAGACATTGGAAAAAAACTTATTGGAACTTGAAGCCGAATACAATAAAAACCAACAATGAAAATCAATATTAAATCAATATTAGAAAGGAATATTAGAAATTCTAACTGGCCGGATCCAGACCAATAATAATAGCATTTAATTATAGATAATTTACATGGAAAGGTTTAGACTAAAAAAAATTATAGAATCTTGAAGAAATTGTGTTGTCTTGGGAATTGGTATCATTCATTACTCATTCGGTAAATGCCGTTGTTTTATAACTGAAGACTTATCTGCACATGCCTAGCCTCGTCTAAGGGCAAACCATTTGCAAAACTCAACTGTAATGTAAAAACTGTGCAATACCAATGTTTTGACAACTCGCGTCACAGGTAGCCCAAGCTTGGTTTCTGTGGTGTCCTGTTATAAGGAAATGTATGGGGAATCATCAAAAATTTCAATAAAATCATCAAAACGTGAAATAAAGCCTCGAAATTTTACCTAATCATTGAGAAAAAGCACTTCTTTCGCTCTGCGTGGTTATTTTTTGAATTTAGCCCGTTTTAAGGATTTTTTTTAATCCTTAAAACGGGCTAAATTCAAAAAATAACCACGCAGAGCGAAAGAAGTGCTATTTCTCAATGATAGGGTAAAATTTCGAGGCTTTATTTCACGTTTTGATGATTTTATTGAAATTTTTGATGATTCCCCATACATTTCCTTATAACAGGACACCACAGAAACCAAGCTTGGGCTACCTGTGCTCGCGTGGGACTTTTTATGGTATTTGTGAATAGCTGACTTATAAACGAGGCTAATCCTGTGCAAATCAGTTCGTAGTCTTCAAAAACAGCGGTATGCATCGAATGCGAAACTAGTCATTGGAGTTTTATTCCCCAAACAAGTTGACAACAGAAGATGACGTGTCTTCCTACATTTTTGAGGAATGCCTGGCAGGAAGGACACCCGCAGCCGAGTTACACAGGGCCGAAAAAGAAAAAAAAAGCTGCTAAACTAACCCGATAGCATGATTGGCGGCTTTTTGCGCCGACTCTGGCACAAAGCCCTGGCTAAATGCGAGCCGTCTTTAGCATACGAATCCCCAACTGCGAACTGCTATAAAGACTCCTCATCACTAGTGTCGTCTGGCAACTGCCATATGGCATGGTTATGCGCCCACTTCGGTCACGAAAAGCACGGCGCCGACTACTTTGCTATCTCAATTGCAATTGAGATTTTAGTACACAGCAACCCCGATCTCAAACATGAATCAAACGGCGAACCGCTTGTCCGCCACTTCATCGGCTATGGCTTTATGCGCATACTCTAGCAAGAAACGGCACTGACTAATTACAAGCCGTTCAGTCACAGCACTATCATGATGCCAAACTTAGACGAATCAAAAGCGCGAAATTCAAAGATCCTCTTCAGCACTCGTGTTCACCGGTCATATGGCTTTAAGTTTATGCACTTACTCTAGCACGAAATGCGCTGAGTAATTGCAGTCTCTTTCACTGATACCGGATCGGTAGCGGCATGATCCGACCTAGACTGCTGATACATTGAAATGTGCTACTCCGCGTACTCTCGGAAATAACCGAGAACAGAAAAGCCATACGATATCCTTTTTGCTCTTTACGGTATACTGATATATTTCTTCCTCTTGCTCGGGAGAAATTAAAAGGAGACTCTGCCAGCAGGGTAACCGTCTCGCAGTTAAATCACCGTAATCTTTTGCAAGTATATTGTAGTGGGCCGGAAATCTTCTGTTGTTTACTTCCTGTTTATGATAACATGGCATTACAGCTACGTCACTTCCTTTCGGAATCATGGAAGGATTCAGTCAGATTACTAATTAATCCAACATACTGCTGGAAGCCGGACTCATAGACCTGAATGTTCCGTAACAGCAGTTCCTTTTTGCTATTTGTGGAAACAGACGCAACCAATAAAACCATATTTTGACGGCTAGGATACCGAATACAGATTTACAGAAGGCTTTCAACCCACATGATCCTAGCCTGTGTTCAGCCGGTATATGGACGCAAGCTACTTGATCCCTGGTGAACGAGTGACCCCTGAGAACTGAATAATTGTTATAGAACACCGTATAATTTTCCTTTCGTCCCTAACTCCCCACACCCCTCCTCTGCAGTGCTCTAATGTAGGCTAAACTCAGAAATTTTCAAAATCATTCTTTAACCGAGTCAATGATTTTACTTTTTAAAAAAATGGTTAGAGCCCCGAATTTAATATATTGTTGATCGGAAGTCAGTATTGTTTTACTTGACAAGTACTGACTATTTATCAGGTTTACCATGGCCATGGGCTCAGTTTGCGGTTTCGGTGATCTAAAAACGTTAGGGTGGAGAGGGACAATATTGGTCATAGTCCGGCAGAGCATCCTACCCCTTCCTTATCCCTCTTTAGGGGGTCCAATTATAGTAATTATAAATTTTTGGCTCAAGTCACAATGAAAAATCCTCTTTCACATGGATTATCGCGTCTACTCAAACGTAAAGTTGCAACCTTAATATATTTTCCGTTCCAGACTCCTTAAACCTTCCTGAATGATACGTAAAAGATGAAGAACCCCATTACCGTATTGTGCAAACACTGTGCACGTGCTGTGGGGTGCGTGTGAGCCCTCAGTAGGTGGTTGTTAATACAACGCTAGTCTGTATTGACATTTACATCACAGCATTGGTCTCGTCAGTATAAAGCAACGCACGCCAGTCTATCGGTCTTTCATCGTTGCAAGGCAACACAAGACATTTGTTCCTCGGCCTCTCCAAGCTTTTTCCTACTGACCTGAACAACATCAATCGTGGTTCTGAGCTCGACTTACTCAACCCATACACTCAAAAACCTTACACATCGAAACTCAAAGAAATATTCTGCCTGGAAGAAATAATATTCAAGGTTAGTCATTATTTATAGATATTTTTGTCTGTCACTGTTAGTTGTAAGTAATGTACGAAGGAGCACCATTGCATACCCAAGACGTGTCCGAAACAAAATATCTTAGGAACAATTCATTTTCAATTGATCAACGAATAATAACTGAAGAGTTTTGGCTGAGATATATAATATCAGGTCTGCCGGTCACGGCACTCCCGCCTAAAATTTGAACTTTGATCACTTTACAAATTACCTGCGAGAAATATTGCCTTCTTCTGACAAAAGGAATATATTTCAGAGATATTTTTGACATTGGGGCGAGTGTTATGTGTTTAATTCTTATAATATCGAAGCAAAAAGTTAAAACTGGAAGACAATATTGCCTGAATGTTGTTCTAAACCACCTCTTTGCTCTACCGGCATATTTGTATCGCTATTCGTAAAGCACGAATCTCAAAAACGCTGACATCTTTGTGCCTTTGATCGCTGAGCTGAGCTGCTACTCGACAGGGTCTTTTTTTGTAAACCACTTTAGGCTACTTTACTTTTTAGTACCCTTATACTCCACAAGGAGCGAAGAGGATATTAAGTAAGTAGGGTAAGTAACCCTGCCTATTGCCTAATCATTATATCAGAAGTCACTGAAATACACATTCTAGGTTTAAAGCCCCATACTCTCTACTCGTACCAGTATTTAATTCCAAAACTTTACGATTTTCAATTGTATCTAGTGGATGACATTTAAGTTGGCTTGCAAAAAAAAATTTCGCGAGAAGTATATCTTTTGCCAGTTGGGGGTCAGCCAGTCCATGGTTTCCGGAAATGCAGCCTGCGTTGTTTCAGTCAAGGTTAAAGCGATTGGATGGATGCGGCATAAGTGCGATTTCCTGAACTCCTATAGCTCTCAATCACGTTACTTTACGAGACCTTGGGCTGAACACTTTAAATTTTATTCAAAGACTTGAGAAGACAATCYAATGAAACTTGGCAACACATCTAATAATCCCCTTGTATAGGATTAGTCGGCTAATAATTATTAACAAACCATATAAACATCCTACCTGTCTGACCCTATTTCCCGTATATATTAACAGTCCATTTATTGAGAAAATGGCTGGTGAGGATTGCTGGCTTCGTGCGGTCTCAGTATCTATGGTCTCTACGGATCTCAATGCTTCGCTCCAAGACAAAATGTTTGCGATTTGGTTTTGCTGACGTACATCAAAAGCGAGTCGCCTTGATGTTATGCATCGGTCTGTTATTCGCTTCATCTATTGGTTTTTGACGGTTTCGCAACGTTTTGTTTATAGTGATAATAAATGAGTATTAAAGACTATGACACTGTTACTTTAATGACTCAGAGATAATGACCAATTAAACATAAAAAGATTAGGCTTTATGTTTAAATCATGAGACAAAAATATTTGTTTTAATGCTTAAAAACTGACTAAAGGTCCATGCACAAAGCCAAGTTGGTTGATGGTCCAAAGCTAAGTTTTAAAATCAAAAGCCTGACTTCATCGATCATGACGGGATTCGTTGATTGATTGAATGAATGATGAATGAATAGATTGAATAGATCAGTACGTAGATGGATGGAGGAATAGATGCATGGATGTCGGATGCATGCATAACTGGATGGATGGATGGATGAATGGATGGACGGACGGACAGACGGACGGACGGACGGACGGACGGACGGACGGATGGATGGATGGATGGATGGATGGATGGATGGATGGATGGATGCATAACTGGATGGATGGATGGATGCATGCATAACTGGATGGATGGATGGATGTGCATGCATAACTGGATGGATGGATGCATGCATAACTGGATGGATGGATGCATGCATAACTGGATGGATGGATGGATGCATGCATGCATGGATGCAAGGATGCATGGATTGCCTCATATAACGCGCATTCTTACTCGTCAGTCGACATAAAGTGAAATTATCCGATTCCTTGATGACATATAAAGAAAGAAAGAGGAGGAGGAAACTAACAAGCAAGGAAGGGACAACGTTGGAAGCAAAGATTTACGGAATGAGGAACACCAAAACATGAATGGAAGAAAGGGAGGGGAAAGGAAAGAAGGGAAGAGAAGGAGGAAAGAGCAACGAGGAAGGGAAAGCCTTACATTGAACTAATCATTAGGTTAAGCATCATGTCCAGTCACTACGCTTAAACATTATATGAAGCATAAGTTTTTCCATGTGTCCTATGATATCATCGCCTTCTTGACTGGTGTAACCGTGGGTGTCAAGAACAAACGAAGCTACCGGTTTTTGTCAGCCACGTTGCTAAATCCACTTCAAATTTGGCTAACACGTGACAAGACCAAAATGTGCCTTGTCGTTATCATATTCTTGATTAAGTTGTCCTCCCTATAAAGATTTTAGGGATAATCAGTTACATAGTTGTAAAGACTAGTTGCAATCTAACAAGACAAACCAAAGACCTTATTGTCATGGCTAGGTATGCATTGTTCGCTGTTGGATAACACAATGAGCCATTTATTTTCATTGAAAGATTATACAAAGCGGAAAAAAGCCACCACAGGTCAATGAAAGGACGTTGGTATCATATACTTCCATGCGTGATATTAAACGAGAATCTCAAACGAAAATTGGATTAAAGAGCTGCTTAGTTATATTCGAAATATAAAGGCAGTTCATGAGCCAACTACACTTATGCAACATCGATCCGGCTGTCTATATAGACCACAACGGTAAGCAATTCGACAATTAGCCGTGTACAGGTGGCAAATGCTTTAGATCTTAATGCAGGTTTCCGATTTAGGAAACCAGTTCAAGTTTCTGCTAAGCACAGTTTATATCGCCTGTTTAAACCGTCCCGGCTTGGCCTCCTGAATATATTATCAAGCACAACAAAAGAACTTTGGTCACCTGAAGTCACTTCCAGAGCACAAAAAAGTTACAAAACTTGAGACACCTAGTCAACTTTGAACTGGAAAATATTAAGATTTTTTTTTTTCGAGTTGTCTATAGCTAAGGCTTTCTGAGAAAAATATCAAGAAACATATCCCGCCGTGTCTGATATACTTTTGATATACTCGTATATATATTTGAAACGGCCATAATTTTTGCAAATGGCTGTATATATATATACACAAGTGTATATACAATTGATTGCAGAAAGGTTGTAGTATACATTTATACATATATCTAATGAGATGCAAGATATCAAATGAGATGCAAAAATTAAAAAAAGTAACTTATTTGATCTTACTTATCTTCTATTGAATCAGAGTCGTAAAATTAAATATTGCGCAAAGGCAAGTTAAAAAATATTTTCCACAAAATGCTGTGGTTAAGCAATCGTATTTAAGCATGTTTTACATTCTGCATCTCATTTGATATCTTGCATCTCATTAGATATTTGTATAAATGTATACTACAAACTTTCTGCAAACAAGTGTATATATATGTGTGTGTGTGTATTGGCTTCCCCGAAGAGCTGTTGACACATAATAAAGTGTGTTACATAATCCACCATTGATTTCCGTCCGGAAATATATCCACTCAAGTATTGATTCCCCGTCGCTAAGAAAGCCAAACACGAGCACTATAAGAGTTGAGACACTCGTCTGCCGTGCAGTAACAACTAGCTACGGCTTTACCTCGACCTTGCTTCTTCAGCTTATCTGCATCCATTTTAAACACTACACCAATCGATCTATTATCAGCACCCTTAAATACCGTGACAGAAAGCTATTAGAATTAAGTAAGTGTTGTCCATTCATATAGCGCGCTATTAATGTTTATTTATATATGTTTGTGTGTTAATTTATATAACGTTTATCTTTATTCAGATAATTATCTTCGTTGACGATTTTCAAGTTGACTTTATTTGTAACATATAGTTTTGTTAGTCAGTATTTAAGTATATTTGTTTAGATAATGGTGCTCCTCACTCTTGTCCTTAGCTTCTGTAGCCGGAATAGTTTGATTTAACATCTTAGAAGTAGCTCTAGTTTTATAATAAGCGCAGGTCATTACAGCCAAAACATCTCAAACGATTTGATAGGTTTTGACTCTGGTTATCTTGTAGACCACGTACCGGCTTAGAAGCTAGCTCTACACTGGGCTTAATCATAAAACAGAGACTCAGCTCCAGTTTTTGAAAATGAAAGGTTTTTAATTGATATGGAAAATGTTTTCTTTGTTACTCGCTGGCCCACAAAATGTAGGCCCACAAAATGGAGGCCATCAAAGGCATTTCTTTCTTTCTTTTCTTTCTTTTTTCGAAGTTATTCGCCATTTTTTAAATCAATTAACAATAAAAATTTCCCCAATATATATATATATATATTGGTAAATTTCATAAATATAAATATATATGCCCAATATATCAATACATGAGCTTGCAAAATTGAATAGTTTTCTAAATTATTTAAAGAAGTATATATTAAAAAATTATAGGCCAACTGAAACTTTCATTTCTAAGCTAACTTATTACTGAATTTATTTAAATCTATTAATTTATTTCTAAACCGAATAATATCTAAACGACATTTATTTGCCAAGGGTAAAGCTGCCACGTTGTGTCATCTGATGCGATGTTTTAGGTTCAAAATGTTCATATTTCAAATACAAGTACTTCAATCTTATCTCGGCGTTTATGTTTCTCGAAAGTAATTGCAAAAAAGTGCTCAACACAGGAAGAACAATAAAGTTATCAATTTGTGAATAACTTGCTAAAAGGATTTAGCCGGGTCTATGAGAGAACGAAGTGATGACAACTAAGGTCAGTTACCTTAAAGATTAAACCCTCATAACAGCTGGCCAAGCCTAGGGTATATATAGGAAACCAAGACACTGCAGCTCAGCATTATTGCAAACTGTAACAGCAGATGGTATTTTGACAAAAGGGCGCTCTTATCTAGCAACAGTTTGAAGAATATTTGACAGCTAGATATTTTATAATAAGACCAACTCAAAGCAACTGAAATATTGAGAGATAAGAAGTTAAATGGTCCGTCATGGAAATATGATTATCATTCTTTGAATGGACTTTCTAAATATTGATTTAAGACGTCTTTTCTGCATTTCATTCCCTTTCTTTACGTTTTCTCCTTAACTTGTAGCAAGTGTGGAACTAAGCTAGTAATGTCCATTGAATTGATAAAAGAAAGGATAATCCGAAAACGTCTTTTAAACTTTTTTAAAATTAGAATTGCCATACTTAATATTTATATTAAAAAAGGCAATGACATGATGTTTTTGAATTGAATTTGTATTTTGGACTATCGATTACAAAGTCACCATTGTCAGAGTGAAGATTATAAGATTCTTTCATACAATTGTCGAGTGGCAATGGTTTTTCAACTTGATTTTCTTCTCGTAAGCTTCTTGGAACTACAACGTTTTAGCATTACGAGCTAAAGATTTTTGCTCCTATTATATTGCAGGGCCGTAACTAGGGGGGGAGACAGGGTGCMCGTGCCCCCCCCCCCCCCCCCCCCCCATAAATGCTTAAGGTCCGCTCATCCATCTCTTTTTTTTGTTTGTTTGTTTGTTTGTTCGTTTGTTTTTTGGTTCTGCTTGCTTTTGGTTATCTTTTTTTGTTTGTTTGTTTGGTTCTGCTTCTTTTGGTTAGGTTTTTTCTTTTTTAGTTTTGCTTTCCGAAAAAAAAAACGATCAATGGTCCGATTTTATTCGATGTGCACACTCCCTACTGTAAAAGTTCTGGTTACGGCCCTGTATTGTTTTCATATACATTCGCTATGCATCATCTATCGTCAGCTTCTCTCACTTGAAACACTTTAATTAAAAGTTCCTTATGCGCCGCAGTTTTTATTTTTGCTAAATATACATCCAAAGGTCAAAGACAAGCATAGGGTAAGCTAATTTAACATATCAGACCTTTCTATGCTTAAGACATCATATCGGAATTAGTTGCATCATAACGCAAGCTAAAAGCATTAGCTAAAGTCTTGCCGTTAACCCAGTTATTATATTTGTATAAATTAGTTTTTACGGTTTTCGATGTTCCTCGAATTCCGACGTTTCAACGACTTGTAAAAAAAWTTTTTTTTACTGCCGCCAGTAAGGAACATAAAAGGTACCGACTAAATTTTTGATTGATGGCAGCGAAAAACCAAATATCAGCGTGCAGCTTGCAATTACCGAGTTCGCAGAACATCGAAAACCGCAGTCACAGTAATTTATACTGATTAACAAATTTATCTTTTTCTTCTTTTTCTTGACTTGCAGATAAAATGTCAAACGTATTCAACAATGGGCGATCATTACTGCCATTTAGAACCCTTATCAGCCTTATATTATTACTCGTTATTATCCTGAACGATGCGGAAAGCAAGGTGAGTTTTTAACGGTTTTTTTCATCATGAGAAACCTCTGCACCGCTTACTCGCCTCTCCCCCTCCACAAAGAAACGTCAATTGACACTCACGGAGACGGAGGCTTTTGGCGGCGAGTTATTTTCTCTCAGGGTTACTCACCACACCGGCTATTCGTAATCCTAGATCAACTTTGGTAGAGCACCGAAATATTTTATTCAGCACCGGCTGAGTATATAGATGCTGAAAACTCATCCTTACCGGCGTCAATATGTTTTCTTTGGTTTTCACTTTATCCCACTCATTTCCTTCCCGTTCCTTGTTTGTCACCCACGTGCATCTTTCCTGCCGACCTCCTATCCGCTTTATATCTTGCAATGTTTTTGATGGCTTCCTTTTCCTTTAGTCGTGTGTATCCTCAATAACCTCTGCATGCTATCTTCATAGATGTTTTTATGTTCATTCTTTTGCGCACTGTCTGTAAGAATTTAAGAATGTTGTGTGTCCTCCAATAAATTTGATATCTTTCTTAGCAGTAAGAACCGAAACAGCCTCCCTTTTTACCTTCCCGGTGTGTTTACTGGTCTTGTCGGCATCAACTGCACATTATGATGCCCTAAGAACTTTTATCAGTTATCCCTGTGCGTACTCTGTAAGAATTTAAAGCGTTTTTGTCATTTTCCCAAGCTGCGACAGCAACGTAGACCTTTAAAATATTGTAGAGCCGTAATTTCGACTTGTCCCTTTTCTTTTATAAATTAAGGCAGTTTACTTTATGTGTACTATAGAGCCTGGTTGTACGAAAGGTGGATAGCGATAACAAACGGATAAATTTTATCCAATGGATAAACTTATTGAATATTGAACAGCATCGTTTTATCCTCTGGATAAGGATTTATTTATACATCGGATGGCGCTATCCACCCTTCGTACAACCGGACCCTGATAATAGTCAGCATGAATTAAAAGGCCTATATATAGAAGAACTTCAAGTACAAGAAAAACTTCATGAGAATATCGAAATGAATTAGTTATAACAACAGATTTTTCTTCTTAGGCACTGCAATCTTCAGACCCTGTACAAAGCGTTGACTACTCTGTATTGCAACATCAAAGCACAAAGTGGTTCTCATGGAAGTTTTGCGGCAAACTAGGAGACGTCTGTAAACCAGGTTCGAGAAAAGTAAGTAATTACAACTTTCATTTCAAGGTTAATTTATAACCATTGCTGCATAAATTAAATGAATCAGAAGGCATAATTATTCTACCTAGGAAGGTTCAAAGGAGGTCGAAGGTATTTTTTTCGTCAAATAGTCCCCTTCACGGTTTCCTGCGCACCATCTTGAAAGGTCGCCGTGCCTTTGCATCTAAGCGAGACGAACGGTGAGATTGCAATGACAGAGATATGTGAATAATTGTCCAAGGTGTTAAAAAAGGTCTCAATCATTGCAAGCTCACCGTTCATCTCGCTTACATGCGAAGGCACGGATACCTTTCAAGATGACGCAGGGAACTTTTTAAAAAAGACTATTGGATCTCCTAGGGTATTTGAGGCCTATTTGCACCTATAGGAGGTAAACGTGTGCGAAATCACTGGGAAATGAACTGAGATCCTCAAAATTAAGAAGGCTGTGCAATATAACCAACCTATCAACACTTGCTTTAACTTAAATTAGCAGAACTCGAACGTAAACCAGAACTTTGCTGATTCCAACCCTAGTGTTTGATATCTGAAGTCAAAAGGAATTGAACCGTTGACCTTAGGAGTGTCAGCTGAACATCAGTCCAATTTTATCCACACTTGCTTAATTGAATTTATTGTTTAACTGAAACGTAAACCAGTTGCTGATGCAAACGCTAGGCCTCTTGTTTAATATCTCAAGTCACTGGAAATTGAACTGCTGACCTCAGGAATGTCAGCTAAACTTTAGCCAACTTTATCCACACTTGCTTATAAATTTTGATTTTATCGGAATGTTGGCAAGTTGCTGATGCAAACATACTTTTATTTTTTCTTTGCAGCACTGCTGTTCTGTTGGGTTCACTTGTGTGATTCCTCTCAAACAACTTTACAAGAAAAGCCACCACAGACGTCGGTTTGGAAGATGTGAACCAGTACCAACTATAGCCATGAAGTATCGAGAGTTTAATGCGGTCATCGACCCAACCAAAAAACAAAGGTGAATCGTCTTCAATAAAGAGGGGCAGAAAGGACAAGAAAGACACGAAGGACTGATAAATATACTTCATAATAAACACTCGTTTGCACGCGCGTACCAGCTGCAAGACACAGTGAATCTGCACCACGTGAGACAATGAAAACCGACTAGTTGCGGACTTTATGATGGACTTATGGAGCAGTGAAGGATTTCTGACAGATCATTTGATATTTATGTTTACAAAATAAACTTCATTATACAGTATATGTTGGCTTGTATTTGTTTAATTGCAGAACAAGTGAAATGCGAGAAATACCTCGATGGAAAAACTCATCCTACCCAGCCACCATCCCAGTAACACGCCTCCCCACTAACCCATCCCAACGGCAGTTGTCTCTGTTTAACTAATTTGCATCTTGGATTTGGAATGTTGTCTCATAGGTAAACAACGACATAAAAAGATTCATTTTATAATTGAAATAAAATGCTAAGAATGAAATATGAAACATTAAATTAATTACTAGGTTCGGAATCAAGAGTTAAGAAACGAATTCCTTGTCAATTGGTACTCTAACGTTGGCGTAAGATTACAAACAGCAAACGTAAATAGATCATTAATATAGAAATAAATATAAGATAAAACAACGAGAACATAGCAAATTTCAAGAAGCTGTCAAAAAAAGTGAGCAAAAAAACAACCGATAAAAGGGAAAAAGCGAAAAACTACTTACATTTGTGTAGGACGTGATGAACAACATCGAGTACCAACTGAATCGAAATTACCATATATATTAGGGCGTATATGTGAGTGTTAAGAATTCCGGAGGGACAACGTGCTCTATACTAACAATGCTAAAAAATACTAAAGAACCTAACGAACTAAACAAAGGTGACAGGACAAAAGAATGCTAACCAAGAATGCGTTCAGATCATTCAGATCTAACAATATTTGGAAGGGCGAGGGTTCATTTGTATTCATTTAATTTCTTTGTTGATAGGGGTAGAGGGGATACTCCCACTTATACGTACGCATCCACTTTTAGCGAGGGGCTACTAACTCGGGATCAAACGAATTCAAAGACATCGATCCAGTTCAACAAAGCAAGCAGCATACATTTGAACTAATTAAATTTTATTTTTCATTGCCAAATTTAACAATAGCATTAGCCTATTAGATACCAATTGTCAAAAAACATATGCAATATTTTCAGATTTGAAAATGAACATGAACTTTATAGCAAAATGCCTAGAGGGCATTCATAAAAAGAACACCGACAGAAAACTCTTAACAAGATGTCACAGCGATAGGTAGAGGGTAGGGTCGGGATGTCTAGCGCAGCGGTCCTCCATATTAAATAGAGCTAAAGACTATCAAGTCTTGTTATATAATGAATTACAAAGAAAAAAGTATTAACTTTGAATTTAGAAGGAGCCATTGAAGAATTTTTACAAGCATTTTGATATGAGATTTTTTAACTGATTTCTTTGCAGTTCATTTAGATTTCTGGAAACATTGACACAATTGACGACTCGCACTAACCGTTCACGTGACCCTACCTTCCTTAAAGCTTGGACAGCAAACATATTTTCCCATACAAATCCTTTTAAAATATTTCACGATTTTATATTTAATGCCATTAATTTTTCCTGTTTCGCTTGTTATGAGCTAAAACTCCGCCATCCTACTAATATTGAGGTGCTCTTTTCAAAGTAGGGTCACGTGACTTGTTAGTGCAAGTCGTCTATTGCATGATTGACATCTTATCTGTCGATTCTCTGTCAGTTATACGAAACTTTTTAATCAACCCCCCCCCCCCCCCCTCAAAATTGTTGTTAGATTTCAATCAAAGCCTCAGGGAACCCAAACTTACATTTTCTGCCAGTATCAGATTTTGATAAATTTGATAACTTATGATACTAGTACTGGGGCAGCATACATGGGTAAGTCTGGGTAACATCTGGGGATTAATTTTTTAATATCATTATAATTATTCATGGTGATGCTTAAATACAATATCAATATACTTAGAACAGTATAACAAAACAGCTAGTAGCTGATACAATCTGAATTTGTAACAAATTATATAATTTGGCGAATACATCTGTGCCTATAGATATTCCAGAAAAGTTTTGCTATTCCAGGAATATCACAATTTATCATCGAAATCCAACAACAAATTTACACGTCACCTTGTCACATACATTCAGTAAAGTCAATATCTTACGCATATCTCCCGGTTTTGATCATTTATTATGATAAAACTTACTTTCCCATGCAGAGGTAGATCTTTTTAGGTACACCACAGGGAACCCGGCTATATTTATATTGATTCTTTTAGAAAATTAGCTTTGCTCTTTATGGGTTTCCTGTGGTTTGTAATCGATTCCTTTGATCGGTTTACGTTACATGAGCTCAAGCTGTGATCACATCCGCGCTGTAAATTGATAGGCGTTGGAAAGTGCGTTGCACTCCACAGGCAACCCATAAGAAGCAAAACACTGACGGTTATATTGATTTGAATTTAATCGCCTATCAATTTACAGGGCGGATCTGATTACAGCACAGGGGAGCCATCATAAGCCACATGAGACCCATAAAGAGCAAAGTTACACGTATGCACAATCTACGGCCCTGCATTTTCAAGAATGTTGAATTGCTTTCATGGCATACACTCAATTGCATACCATTGTCAGGTGAAAAACATAGAAGTCCGAAAGGTATTGTGGGAAATGACAAAAATATCCTCTGTTGCATTCATTTTAGATACACAGTCGATATATGACATTTGTTAAAAGCCTTCATGCTTTTTGTCAGTGCAATAGTTATGACCATTCCACGAGTTGTATCACTAGATACATCTAATTAACGTACTTCCCATGTACTATTTCAGTCTCGGCTTTATTTTCATGTTAATCTTTCTTGAGGCTACAATGATTTTGCAATTGAATTTATCTAGCTAACAAAACGTCTTTGCATATATTATTATAGACCTTAATCGGTACTATATATGCCATCTAGATATTGCTGAAGAAATTTCTTAAATAACTTAATATTTTTTAAGAGTTGTACACAAGCTTACATGATGTTGACGGTAGCTTGTTTGAGATTGGTTGTCCAAAACATTGTTTCTGGATGCACTATTTTCTATCTTTTGTTCCGATTCTTTTTTTATGAGAAATATGAGATGCCCCTTTATACCGCATGAGACTGATCAGGTAAAGTCTCTCCTTTAATCACCCTTTGACTCAAAGGCAGTATTTGTTAATTATTTATGAAGGGAGTTGGCTGGAAACTGTTGTAAGATTGCTGATCTATAGATCAAAACACAGCACTTAGAAATAAATCTGCTAAAAACTCCTTAAAATTCTGTTTTTGCATTTTGAGAATTTAGACTAAAAAATTAAGCCTTGTTGATAAAAATAACAGACATTACATTATTGATTTGTCGCAATATATTCTCAATAAAACCTTTTTTCGCGATGTACGTTGTGAGAGTATCACTGAATCATATTATATAGCTCTAGAAAATATCTGCACCTCTTATATTAGTACTCCAGGCATATACACCTACGTCAATAAACGTTGTCATCGCCAAAGGCGATAGGCCATTCCGACATTGAAATGGCTTCGTTTAATACGAAGAACAATGAATCAGTCTCAACTATAAGGTCCTTGTTTTTGAGAGAATAAGAAGCAGAAACACAAGTCATGCCATATATTCTTGGATCTTGGAATAACCTATCTCCTATCGCTTTTCGCCTTTTGCCTATTGCCTATTGAAGATGACAACGGCTATTGATATAGGTACATACCCTTCAATAATGCATGGAACTTCTAATAATCCTGTTCATGGTAACCTAGGTTCCACCCTTCCTCTAAAGGTACTTTTTGGTTATGCTCTTCCTCATTGCGAGATAAGGCGAGGAGAAAGTAATAGATCAGAGCAATAGAATCTTGGGAGCCCTCTTGGGAGCCCAGAGTACTGCATTGTGGTGAGGTATGGATATTTTCTCATCATATCAGCCCTAATTAGCCCTTGTAAGTTTACAGTCACCATATAACTGTTTTGTCCAGCATGCCGATGGTTTAAATTTAGCATTAAAATGCAGTGTAATACCCATAAATATGCACCACTCTTGCGTCATGGCATTAGGTTAGCACAGACATGTGTATGTCCTAAAAATAATATACACCTGATATATATTATATTTGGGGTGCATATTACGTCATAGCCGCCATGTTTGTTGATGATAACAAAGCATTCCTTACTAGCTTCTTTTGTTGGATCAACAAATTTGGCGATGTTTCACTGTTATTCATATATAATGTGGTTGCACCTTATGAATACGCACGCACACACATATATACATATATATAATATATAGCATACCATCCAGTTCTTTATACAAACGTATAGTCTTTTCACCGCTTGTATCTTCCCAATCCTGTTACTGAATAAGCTTCAATCTCCTCATCAATATATTTTAAAGCTTCGCAGTGAAATTTTATATTCCCACTCTTGCTTTTCTTGAAAGGGGCACAAGTCAGTCCGATTCTACATGGACACTCTATATCAATACCTGGCTGTAGTAACGAGAGAAATAATATTATTAATCACTTAAAATGATTATCACTAACTATTAATCAATCATTGATTATTATAATTATTATAATTAATCCAAAGTATATTACTAAATTATTGCATTATCGATTCCACCCTTTAAAGTGTGGGGGGATGGGAGGGGCATTGAACACCTTTTGGACTTTTACTAAAAAACCATTATAGTTGAAGTACTACCCGCGAAGTGTGATGTCTCGTTCGCCGACTAGCATTTCAACGACCGTTAATCAAAAAACTGCAACAAAAAATATATATCTTGAGGGAGATTTTGGACTGAATCTTTAATTTTTTTAAATCTACGTCAAGATAATGGCTTTTTTATTGCAGTTCTTCGATTGCCTGTTGTTGAAATTATAGTCGTCGAACGAGACATCGAATTTAGTTCGGCGCGGGTCGCACTTCCACGATAATGGTAATAATACATCTGCGTTTGATAAAAACAACGCCTTGTTTTACGAGGGTATAACAGATAAATCTGGAAACGTGTCAATTTGGCACTAGCCAATTCCTGATCAAATTGAAATTTGGAAGTTGCTTTTATGAAGGGAGGAAAACCGTAGAACTTGGAGGGGAAAAAACCCGGTTCGCATTGGTGAGAAGCATCACCAACGCATTCTGGGCTAGCTTGGCAACAAACTATAGAAGGGCAGTCTCAGATATCCTGGAACTTACCATTAAAGCAGGTTTACATCTTTGGTTAAGTTTTGGCCGCTTTTTACATCTACCATATCCTTTTTGAGTAAATTTTATGCAACACTCATTTCTCCCACAGCCTTGAGAAGATTTGCACTTTTTTCTTGAATTTCTCTGAAAAAGTAATAAGTAATGAATTACGCAATAGCTAACTTGCGGGTTACCTATACCATGAAGCACAATAGATGCACAACCACAGGGAACCAAAATATAGACTACTGAAGTGCTATTTCGAAACAGAATGAACACATGTTGTTCCATGGATGACTCCTTCAAGATCAATATCCCAGGATTGCAAAATCAAATTATTCGCTCTAGTGATGTGTAATGCACAAAGCCGATTTCCTCCATACACGTGTTGTTTTACTTATAAGCATGGTCAGGAAGTGTCAAAGTCCGACCCAACTTTATACCCAACGAGGTTCTTTTATCTAATACCAGTGAGAAATTTCCTACCTACTTACTCATGGAATTCCACCGTAGCTCTATTTTTAGAATCGATATTTTGTTTCTATTTGTGGCATTGGCTGTTTACGCAGTTTTTGATCTTACGACACCCCCAACAGCGAACGAAGAAAAGAAGGGTTTTTTTCCCGCTGATGAATAATTACATGAAAAAAGCGGAGTGTTTGATTCAAATTTAACTGGACCTTGGCCAGTTTTTTCAGAAAAGAATGTAAAACTAAGTTAGGTTTTTCTTGCAGTTTTTTGCTTAAGTTAAAAACATCACATCTGTAGTTACCAGTAGTACTATGCGTGCAATTTAGGATGTCTTGTCCGGTCAACAGTCACTAGAATTAAATTGATTGTTTGAAGATTATAAAACCGACAAAATAACACGCAAATGATTGGAATGGGCATTTCTCTAAGAAAGATCCATCAACATTTTTAGGCATTTCCTTTTGGACGGTAGTGCAAAAAATTTCAAGGGACTCAAGAATATTTTCCGAAAACTTATTAAGTTCATTGCGTAACGATATTACGCAATTGCATACATTTAGTTATGTCTTTCAGTTTATGGCAATTTCAATCAAGGAAAAGTGCATAGTTTAGAGTGGGGATCTAGATTTGAATTAGAAAAGTAAGATTAAAAATGTGTGTATGGGGACAGGCCTCACGAACTGAGAAGTGTTTTGCTGAATCTACGGTTTCCCTTTCTGAGCATAAACAAAGCATATGTCAAAGAAAAGCAAAACATTATAAAAATCCAAGATCAAACAAAAATTTACTATCTTACTGAATCAATTTTATCTTGCTAAAATTATGAAAGTATTGCAAAGAAAAGAAAAACTCGGTATAGTTTGTTTCAGCAGCGGGAACCATGGAACCGACATCGACAAAATACCACGCCCATCGATCAAACAAACAAAAAGGCATCTTTTAAAAAAAAAATACATCACAGTCTTATGCGGACACGATATAAAAACTATATAGAATTTGATTAATTCCAGTTCAAATAATCTATTAGTAATCAATGAAAAGGTCAGAGATTTGGGGTAAATATGTTCACTTATAAAAATGTAGTTGGAATTGTGAAATGATAAAAGAGATATTTTCTCGAATCTTTGTTAAATATCAATGTTAGTAATGCACAAATCATCGATGCAGTGCCAAGGTTGATCAAAGTGCTAAAACAACTTTACGCATGGTAACACATATGCATCTCCTACGGAAGAATTTAATTAAAAAACCGACTCCGAAGACATATGTCAGCAATCATTTTGTAAACATCTGAATCTGAGTAAATGGCCAGACCAAAAAATACAAGTCCATGCATGTTTCATGGAAGAGCGTTCAACTTTCAATGTCAATGACCATCGCTTAATTTCTGCAGGCTAGCTATCATGGCGATGTGTGTCAAAATGGAAGACATGGTGCATGCGCACAGGACGAGTAGCCAACGTCATCAATGCTAGCTCATTAACCTAATTTCTAAGCTTTACACTCGACCAATATGAGAAAATTATAGCTATTTAGTTACGTAACGAATACTAATAGCCCGGCTAGACTACTGGTGTCTCTATGGTCAGCTAGCGATACTTGACTCTACCTTCTAACACCAAATCCATAGGAGGCTCATTATTTTAAAACTTGCACCAAAACATTTGCATTTTTATTCATAGATCTCTGCAGGCTCTCAGCACGAAAAGCTCCGTTGGCAATGAACCAATATTCACACACTGTTCGCTAATATCCTTGCAGCGACTCCATCAGTTAACGATGAAGTCAATAATCAATAGGAATATAATATATGAAACAAGTAGATGATATTGGTGATTGCTAAATGCATGGATGGATAGTTTATGCTTACTCCACCGAACAGAGACTCAGGCATTAAAAGAATAACTAGACCTCTAGCGAAGGAAGTGTTTGAACAAGCTAATTGATCTTTAACTAAACACTTAAAGGTGTTAACGAGATTAGACTAATTAAACAGGAATTAGAGGTGCTTGCAATGCACGCACTCATGAACCCTAATAAACGTACATGGCTCGCTTAAAATTAAGAGCATCCAAAAAAGTCCCATTAACGTTAAAGTATTACTAAGTGGTCATTTTTCAGTCGCGTCAAGAACTGAAATCAAAACACTTGAGAAAAGATAAAGTTTAACCTGAGTCGTGGCTTGGTTTTGTCTGTTCTAATGGTTCAAATGAGTTTTGAATGATGTTCAATAAGTCAATATAGGTGTGATAGATTTGGGGCTAATGTCAATTAAACGTACAATAGAGAAAAAGAATATTTTTTCCAATGATTTACTAACAAAGCGACAATCATTCGTTCCTTTTAGTTTAGTCAGTCACACTGATGCACCCACACACAAACAAAACCAGTGCACTATTTTTAGACCTTTTCAAGAACTTGGCATTGGTAAATTACACATTGGAAGTCCGACTCTCTCCAGGTTGTCTGAACTATTGTACTCGGTCGTCAGAGCTCTACATTGTACCAGCTCAAAACATTTGACAAGGAAGAAAGCCAACTTTTGCTTTTTGCCAAAAGTTGCCACGACATTCAACTCTTGGCCGGTTTGGACAGGTTTCTCTTTTTCTTAATGAATAGCAAACGAGATATCCGTTTTCGAACTAGCTGAGGGGGGGGTCTCAATATTTGTTCATCTTAAATAAACATTACCGTATGCATCATAAGTTTTTGAACATTATTTTGGTTAGTTAACTTGTCTGCTCGGCAATGGTTACTAAGCACAGGGTGCTTTCATCCATGTCATGTAATTGACTGCCACGTTCTTCACGCCCACAACCTACTTGTCCAGTTATTTGATTTGAATCAGTGTGACCACAAGCTTGTGATCTTTTGTTTGGAAATAGAATAGAATAGAAAAGCCATAGAGTTTTAATAAATCAAATCACACAACAGGGTCCCCAAGGACCTTTGTCCTCGTGCTCCCAAAATATCACAACGGAGGGAAAGGAAGGATTAAGATGTTCGAGGCCAACTCAGTAGCATTTAAATATAAGCCTCTTTGTTTACAGAAGAAATAAGATTACTACAAAAATCCGAGTTGACATTCTCGGCAAATCATTATTCAGTACATAGTATGCAATATCCTTGTTTTCTACGAAATCGGAGTTGGGAACGTTAGCATTTCTGCTATACATTTGATCCTGAAATACCGAAAATATCATTCCTTTACTCAAATTATTAGTCATGGTATTTTATAAATTGCTTTCAGTAAGCCTGGCCGATAAGATCAGTCATTTTGTACTAGGAATCCCGAGAATCCTAACAATTACAACCACAGCTATTCGTTATCTAGTCATTGAATCTCCAGGCGTTAATCTGATGTTCACTTATATCATCAGTAGACAACATCCGTATTCGAAAAGATCTGTTAACGACTTCAGTGGAAATTCTCGTTTCTTCTAAGATTAAAATATATTTTGTTTATGTAGCGGAGGGCCCTAAGACCCTCATCTTTGTATCATGAACAGTTCTCTCCGCAGGGAATTCCGGAGCAATTAAAATCCAATTTTGGCAATTGGGAGGAAGCTGATTTAATAACCTCAGCACGCGACACTCTTCAGCCACAAGCTTCACTACCTAACTATCTTAATGTGACTTGGTAGTCCCAGACAACATTTGAAAGCTGCTTATAACGAGCACTCAACCCTAAGATGTTTCCCGTACTTTAATTTTTTTTTCTCTAAAACATGGTGACGATATTGGCATGTTTTGGGACGCGCTGTAAATCTTTGAGCAAACAGTTTAGATCCTTTGACAGCAATAGTAATCTATGCCAAAGCACTTACCATCAAACTCTTTAACATCGCGAGCTCCTTGCGAAGTCTTTTTAGAACTCTTCTGCGCTTTTTTTCATTTAGGATTTTTTTCCTTTTCTGGATAAGTCGTCTGAGTCCTTTGACAGTGAGTCGCTTTCCCTTTAGGCGTCGTTTTGAATAGATTCCGTAGTTTTTTTCTTTTGAGACGGTATTTGTTACGGAGTTTGAAATAATGTCATGTGTCAGTGATTTCGGACTTGTTCTGTCGACAACCACGTGCGTTACATGAGTCTTAGATCCTGGCTTTTTTCTCTATTGAGAGAAACATTAAACTCTGTTAGTAGTGAGAAGGTCCATCGTGTACTCTAACGAGTAACTGTGAATTAGTTCGTCATGTTTATTTTGTCAGCCAGACTCGGACGTCTAGCTGTTTCGTGAAGTGCTGTTAACAAACAATGACAAATCGAGCAATTTTCATTATCTACCGTCACTAATATGCATAAAAACAGCTATTCAATTTAGGCTTTCTCTTTTGTAAGGCTGTATTGGAATTTGACAACAAAATGATACCCAACCATGGGGAACCAAGCATTTGCCTTCATAAGAGGCAAACAATAAAAGTCCAACTTTTTAGAAAGTTAAGGGCAAATCTACCCTGATATATGATCAAGCCGACGAACCTGTTGATATTCGGCACGCTTATGCCTGTCAAATGCATGTAGACGACTATTATCATTATTGTTTTCATAAAAGCGCCTTTGATTCGTAGCAGCTCACAAGCAGAAAAATGCTAATGGCTTTAAGCAAGCCTAATATTAACTGTCCTTACAATATATTCCTAAGAATAAAATCAATATCATAAAGAATAAGTAAAAATGCTACACCAACTCCAGTTTTGTTAAAAGATTAAAGAGTTCAGACACAACTATGAAATTTGCGGGGTTTTTTGGTTAGTCTTTCTTGTTCATTTACTTACCTTTCCGGCAATGGAAGTCGTTATCGTTATTATAATGATCAGAATATGAAGCCACAGAAGAGTTCTTAAATCCATAAGTGCTCTAAACTCTGGATCTCCTATACTCTTGGTCTACTTGAACTGACCTGTAGAATGAAAGGAGCCGGTGAATAAATGAGTTACAGAACAGTGCATCTTAACTTTAAGGCTTGATTCTGGGTCACATGACTTGACATGTGCCATTGGCGCTCCGAACAACAATCCTGTGGCTTTCTGTTGAGCTTAAGTATTCTGGTATTTGTTCTATCGGCATCCGTTTTGTTTTGTATCCCGTGGGACGTTATTTGCCTTCAAGTATCCGCTGCCCACTCAACTGAGCAAATACAGCTGCGATATCCAACACATTCGGTATGAACATTACCCTTCTGAATGAAATCATACAAAGCAACGCTGGTTTAACGAGTGAATACCACCACCAATGGTAGATATCTTAATATTCTTAAAGATTTAGTAATCATTAACAGTCAAAAATCTATCCTAAGTTCGAGAATCTCAAAGCAGAAAGGCTTTTTGATCTGTCAAAATTGTCTGATTCATTAAATGCGGCAAAAATGTAATTGTGGCTGCGAAAGCGTACCGCCAAAACGTGCTAAAAATCCTTTGGGAATACAACTTATATGGTATGCTATTAAGGAGTCAGGACTTCGTGTTCGTTTGCTTGGGAAACTGCAGAATTAAAAATATCAGAAAAATGTTTAGCTTGTTGCGCATCCTTTTCACTCTTTCCTTCTGCAAACTTACCATATGCCGTTCATACAAAGAAATGCTTTTGCAATGTGCTGATGCAAATTTCATTTAAAAGCAACAGTGCACATCTGACTTGGCACTATACCAAGGGTGACTTATTGACTTAACGGTAGTATTATGAAACCAAACAGTTATTTTGCATTTGACGAAAGCGCACACGTATGGTAACACTTCGCTGATCATGACTCAATATCTCCATTGAAATAGCAATTCCGGCTAAGTGTTACATTTCTTATGTGTTTGAATGAACTTTAAGGGTTGTTAGATTTCATACTGGATCATTCTAGAAACTACCTTTTGAGCTAAATATTTTACTCTGCATGGGCTGTATACAACCATCGTCTATGACGCTATTTGACCTGTCTTTACTTGCCCATATGAGGCCATTTTACGCACCGTCCAACTCACCCATGAACCGGCTTTTCTAGAACTAGGTTGCAAGAGTATTATGAAAGACCGTAGAAAGTATTAGTAAAAATCCCTTCCAGATGCAAATAAAGAGCCTGGGAAAATTCTTTTCATTTTCTCCTAAAAATAAGCTGGACGTTAGTTCATTGAAGAAGAATCGATCAGGACCGAATTTTTGGCTCGTTCTGACTTACATTGTATAAAAATATTTTAAAACTTTCTCTAAAAATATCTGAGCCAGAAAAAAATACGTGAGTAAAATTGAAATAATGAAGAGGCGGAGAGGCACAGAGACCCAGCAGGCAATTGAAAGAGTTACCAGTCCTTAGCCTACTGAGGTGTTATATAACGTGTCTTTCCTGTTGCTCCAAACGGCCAATGTACTGATTGAGGTACTAACGAAAAAGCAATTGAAATAATAGCTTATGATTTTTGATGCCCTGACAAAGACGATCTATAAAAAGGATGATTCATGACCTTTAATTAAAGTCGATGATGTTCAAACGAGAAGATTCGACTAATGAAGAACTTTCCAAACACTAGCAACATGACCCAGTTACGAGAGCTCAATGTGGGCGTTAGTTTGTAAAACGGTAACATTTAATAGCTCAATAGTACACGCTTTCCCTCCCACGCTACTAAGCTTAGGTAATTAAAATTTCTCATTGAATATTATATTCATTGAACAAGTTCCAAATGTTTGCATTTTACTTGTTAAACACGAGTTCTAAACCAAACATATCTATAGAACATATACTTTTAAGTTGACCTAAGCTAAATAGAACAACATCAAAGCATAAGTGTTTTTCATTTACTAAGAACATTGATTCCGGTTAGTTTATCGAAGTAGAAAATTTTGCATTTTAGTCGAGAAGAAAGTGGAAAACTAAAAGAAGTCATCTGGACGAAACTATACTTTACTCCATTAGTTTTGAACGAATCTAGCAAACTACAGCCGAAGTACATGAATCGAAACAAGAAAGTTCCTAATGCAAAAAAAGATATAACTAGCTAAAAACTAGTGTGAACTGCGTCGGTGTTTCTAATGAAACAGTAATGA